GCATAAGCCTACTCCTCAGGATTCTTCATCCAGTCCTGTGCTCTTCTTCATTTGTTTTGCTTTGACTGCTATAATACCCTCCTGGCACTCTATCCACTGAAGACATAACAGCAGAGCAATGTTCTCTTGTCATACCATTTCTGTACTTTAAAAAACTCCATGGTTTTGTGCTTCCCTCAAGATAAAGCCTAAAATCCGTTTGCCTGTAAAGACCTAAAGACCTGCACTTCTCTAGCCTCATCTTACCTTAACTTTGGACTATGTTCCACTCATATTTTCCATTCCTTGAAGGAGCTTGGCTGTCTTCTTTACCAGGACCCTACCCCCATTATCTTTTCATTCTTTAAAACTAAGTTTAAAACGTGTTTCTTATAGATAACTGCCAAGTCTCTCCACAATTAGGTCCTTCTATTACACCAACACTCACCTTCACTGTAATTAAGTACTTTGTACTTAGTACTCTTCTCTGAGTACAGTTGTCTCACTAATTATTATGAGTGAGCAAATCCCCAACAAAAATTGCTAGGGAAGGCTACCTAGCAAGCAGCTGGAGAAGAGGACCAAGAACAGCCCCTCAGAAGTTATCTACAATCAGGGAGAAGAGAGATGGGAAGCAAAGAGACTCTGAAGAATATTAAAAAAAAAAAAAAAAAAAAAAAAAAAAAAAAAAAAAAAACAGATGGGGGGGCTGGTGATAAGAAACAGCAATGAGGGAGATAGATGACTCATAAACCAAGTACTCTGGCAGAGGACCTGAGTTCAGTTCCTAGAACCCACATCAGATGGTTCACAACTACATGTAACTCCACTTCCTAGTGATCTGACATCCTCTGCCTCCATAGGCACCTGCATGATCATACACATACACACACTTGGGCACATGTATAGAGCATAAAAACAAATATATATTAAAAATAGCAATAACAGTAAACACTGGAGTCATTTAATATTAATTATACACTGTAAGATGGTTGTTCTACCTACCCTTATTTCATAAAGAAACTGGAGGGCAGAGATGCTAAGTTGCTAAAGATTACATAATAAATGACAGGACCCAGAATTCGAATCTAGGGAGTCTTCCATAGGTGGTCAGTGATAGAATACACAAATTGGAATAAAATGGGTTAAAAAAGTTAAAAATAAGCTGGGAGTTGGTAGTGCACGCCTTTAATCCCAGCACTCGGGAGGCAGAGGCAGAGGCAGGCAGATCTCTGTGAGTTCGAGGCCAGCCTGGTCTCCAGAGCAAGTGCCAGGATAGGCTCCAAAGATACACAGAGAAACTCTGTCTCGAAAAAAAAAAAAAAAAAAGTTTTTACACATCATATATATGACAAGGGATATATATGCATAATATGTAACTATAACTAAATAATTTAGAATACAACTTTAGAAACTAAGCAAGGGAGGTAAGGCCTGGAGAGACGGCTTAGTGGCTAAGGGCACTTTTTATGCAAGTGTGAGGACTTTAGTTCAAATCCCTAGTACCCATAAAAAACGCTGGACATGGCTGCATGGACCTGTAACTCTAGCATTGGAAGGACAGAGAGGCAGATTCTGGGAGCTCAATGGCCAGTCAACTTAGCCTAAATGGAATTTATCTGGCTCATTGAGAAATTCTGTCTTAAGGGAATAAGGGTAAGATGGACAGTCTTTCTCTGGCTTCCACATGTGCCCACAGAAGCATTCACAACCACGTGCATGCACTACACACACCCCCACACACAATAGATATAAAGTATTTTTAGAATGAGCAAAGGATCTGAATATTTAGTTCACCACAACAGATACAAATGTCCAGTAAAAGCATGATAAAAAGATGTTGGGCATCATTAATTCCTAGAGACACATAAATAAAAGCCACAAAGAGATGCACTTCTCAACCGAGGATAGCTACATAGAAACTAAAACTCTTATATCCTGCTGATGTGGAAGGAAAGTGGTGCAGAACTTTGGAAAAGCTTGGTAGTTCCCAAAAGAGTTAAACAAAAATATCTTATGACCTAGTAATTCTACTCCAAGAGAAATGAAAACTATGTCCATACAGAAACTAGCATATGAACATCCATAGCAGCATTAATTCTCATAGCCCCAGATGGAAACAACTCAACTGTCTGTCCCATGATGAATGTAATGCATCCATACAGTGTAACTATCTGGCAACAAAAAGGGAAAGAAGTAGAATATGCACAGATGAGCCTTAAGAACTTGTAATCTTGCTCCTCAGATGACAAAGCAATGACTACAGTTAAAGACTTTTCTGGGTTTCAGAGTGAGCTCAAGGCCAGCCTGGGCGACTTTAGTGAAACTTCATCTCGAAATGAAAACTAAAGGGTTAGGGAACATAAGTCAGTGGTAGAGCACTTACCCAGTACATGAGAGGCTCTCAGTTTAATTCCCAATATCCTAAAATACACCAAAAACCATTATTCAAAGTAAGTCAAGTCAATTACTAAGAAACATGTATTGGTCTCTGTACATACACAATGAAGAGGACAGGGATGAGATGGATCACTGTGTAAGAGCACTTGCTCCCCAAGGATGAGGACCCAAGTTCAAGTTCCAGCAACCATAAAAAGCCAGACTGAAGCAACATGCACCTGTAATCCCAGGGCTAGGGGACAGAAACAGGATGATCCCTGAGGCTTGCTGTCTACCAGCCTAACTCAAAGCTTAGCTAGAGACCCCGTCTCGAAGCAATCAAGTAGTGACAGAGTAGGACACCTAGGGTGATCCTCTGGTGCACAGAGCCTGAGGAGAGAGGAAGAAGGGGAGGGAAAGGCCCTATGCAACTCTACAGAAACAGAAAATAGATTTAGCAGTTGCTTAGGGCTGGTAATTGAAATTTAGGCAGTAATGAAAATTTAAAAATTTAGAGTAATGAAAAAAGTTTAAAATAATTGACTGACACTGTGAGTATACTAGGATTTGAACTGTACACTTTAAATAAGCAAATTATATCTCAATAAAAGTAATTTTTGTTAATGAAGAAAGAAAGAAAATGAAAGACATAGCTGCGTGAGTAGAGAGGGAGGTCAAAGGAAGCTATCTAAAGGTTAGAGAAGATGTGAATATGTTTACTAACACAAATAAGTGAAGAAAGAGCTTAAGCAGGTGGCGCTGATGCACACCTTTAATCCCAGCACTCAGGAGAAAGAAGCAGGAGGATCTCTGTGAGTTTGAGGTTAGGGCTACACAGAGAAACCCTGTCTCAAATAAACAAAAACAAGGAGAGGGAGGAAGGGAGGGAGAGAAGAAAAAAGAGCTTAATACTTAAAAGACATAAAACTGGAAAATATAGTTTAATAGCACTGAAGAGGCTACAGCATGATGGCTGTGAGTTCAAGGCCAGCCTGCGACTAAACTGAAAGCCAGCTCCTGTCTAAATTAATTAAAAGGAAGCTACAAGTTCAGGCAAAGACAGGGAAAAAACGGTGACACCTTTGAAAGACTAAAGACAGATAACTAGTGGTGAACGTATATTGAATGCTAAAGGATTATATTCATAGAGGCAGAAGGCCGGAGTCTTCAGCTGAATGTGAGAAAGGGGAGAGAAAAAGGTCCAAAATAGTAATAAATATTAGGAAAACCACTGCTATGAATAAGAAAAAAAAAAAAGCAACAGGTTAAAATCTTGTTAAGTAGAACTAAGCAATATGAGAATGTAGAAATTGGGTTTATTTGGGTTTTTGCTGGTGTGTCCTGTGTTGTGTCCTGTTTCCCGTCCCATGTCCGTCTGCCCCCTCCCACCCCCAGGGTGGAGAGATTGTTGGGACTTTATGCATGCAGAGTAAATACTCTGCCGTTGACCTGTAGTTCCCTTTAACAGCCTTTTTAGAAATAAATTATAAAGAGTCTAAGTTGCCCAGGATGGGCTTGAACTTGTTGTGAGTCTCCTATTTAGCTGTGCAACCAGGCACAGTTTAAAAGTATGTTTTAGGGCTGGAGAGATGGCTCAGAGGTTAAGAGCACTGACTACTCTTCCAGAGGTCCTGAGTTCAATTCCCAGCAACCACATGGTGGTTCACAACCATCCATTATGAGATCTGGTGCCCTCTTCCGGTGTGCAGATATACATGGAAACAGAATGTTGTATACATAATAAATAAAATCTTTAAAAAAAGTATGTTTTAATAGAGCTAATGCATATGTTCAGATGATATTCTCAGCTAGGCTGATCAGTTTAGGGTGCTGGGAGTGTTGGTTGAGAGGCTAGACTAAGATTTCTGCAGGGGAAGACAATGCTACCACAGGAAAACAGGCATTCAAAAGAAGAAATGGACTTACTGAAAGGCTCAGCAAAGATGGGGGAAAAATTACATTAAATAGGATTCTTGATTGTTTATCTGCAAGAACTGAGATTAATGGCCAGTTCTCAGAGGAAGCTACAAGTAAATGAATTACAAAAAAATACAATTACAGGCTTTAGATCAAAGAGCTTCTTAGAACAACTCATTTTAAGATTAATGAAGGGAAGCACAAAGCAATTAAGTTAGTTTGCTGAAGTTGTAAGATATGAAACAAAGGTTTGAAATGACCATGACAGCCAACCATTTTATCATGCCATAACTTATAACACAGAGTTTGGCAGGAAATATAAATTGTGATGCTTCTGGAGGACATTCACTAATTCTACAGTTGGCTTGTAACCTCAGGTTCCTTCCAGGTGATTATGGGAAATATGATCCAGGAACAACATGAATTACAGTGAAAGTCAATCTGACATAAAACATTTGCTCTGGAAATCCATATGGAGATAGATAATCAAGAGTTGGATGTAGGATGATATAAATACCCTAAATATTCTAATGCAAGAGCACTTTATACTTCATAATCCCTCAGTGTTATTCAACAAAAATGATGACAATGCACAAAAGTCTATGACTTACAACCTTAAACAGAAAGAAGAGCTTTGTTTATTCTTAAGTCTATTTTTATGCTAGAGAAACATGAAATACTGCAGTGTGAATAGGTCTCTTTCAAGGGGCTAGATATTGCCTTACCTTTACTACCTTGTAGTCACACAAGTACTCCACCTCATAATTGTTTAGATTCCTTTTGGTGATTCCAATCGATTTACATGTGAGCTTTTCTTTTCTACATAATTCCTGAAGAGTATCAAGTGAAACTAGGCAAGGCACACACCAGGCTACAATAAGAAAATAGAATTCTTTACTAATAAAATAGCTACTAGGATGAAACAAAAACTTAAAAACTTCCCAACTGACAATTTTATAGTCAGAAACGAACATGACAAGAAGCCAATTATGTGTGTTTGAGAAAAAAGTTACGTGATAAAGATCTACTTTTGATGAATTGAACTTCTATCCTATTGTTCTATTGGCAAAGGCTAATTCTTGCTTGGCCACTTAAAATATTTCATGTCTAAGTTTACTTAAGATTACTATAAATGCAAAAATGAAAAGAGCTAATTTTTTTTTACTGTTCCATTATATTCTACACAGAATGTAACTGTTCTCTTAATAAACAGCTAAGACATATTATTAGAAATGTATCTAAAATATATTCTAAAACAATCACAATTTAAAAGTAACCTTTGCTTCTTTTAATCACACAGTAAGATTTTAAATCTGAAATATAGTTCTGTAGTTAAATCCATATCCTACTTTGCCCATTTCAGGAATACCACAAGTCTCATTTATTTTGCCCATGGTGAAATGTATTATCAACATGCATAAAATAGAAACATCTACTTTTCTATTTTATATTGTATATTGGGCTTTATAATGCCATTTCCTGGACTGTTTAAAGCCAGCAAGCAGTTACAAAACAGAAAACTCAAAGTAAATTATCCATAAACAAGAAAGTCAGACATACTAACAATAACCTTACACAGGCCAGAAATGAACTGTGTTCCATCCCAAATTTAAAATATAACTGCACAAATGATGTCTAGAAAATGTAAAACTTCACTGTACGTCTAATAGGGGAATCTAATACTAGATGATCAAAAGCCCTCCACCCTACTTGTTGGTGGGCCACCTAGCTACACAACTTTAGGAAGGGCTCAAGCTTTCTGGGTATCACATTCACTGAAAAAAAAAAAAAAAAAAAAAAAAAAAAAAAAAAAAGAAAAGAAAAGAAAAGAAAAAGTGAGAGTGGTGAAAAGAAGTGACCAAACAAAATGTATCATTAGTTCATCATGCTGTATTTAATAGTTCTTCAAGGTAGTAGGCAAACGTTTTGAGGTAGATTTCAGGGACAGGAGAACCTGACTGTTTTAACTTCCCCACATCCCTTCATCATCCTCCCCCGTTAGGACTTCATTAAAGGAAATTGTTAAGCATCATTTCCCCACTCCAATCAATGGAAAAGACTCGTATTTCTGGCACTCGTAAAAGGCAAAGTCTTTTCCTCAAATTTGCCAAAATACATTGTTTAGGTGTGGTGGTTTGGGGGTAGGACAGGTATAAAAACCGTCTTCTTAATCGCTTCCATCCAAAAATCTTAAGGCTGTTTTGTGTAAGGCTAATCTCCTTATGTTAATCATCTGTAAAGGAGAGACCTGTTGGTTATTATGTACCCAAGGTGTTTGTTTTAAATTTTTTACTCCTAGTTGAGAATCCAAAAACACAACCCTATAGCGGAGAGTGGTGTTGAATTCGGTAACACACGTATTCGAATGAAAATGTCATAATGACGACCATTATGTGTAAGTACGACGCATCTCTCAACAGAAATGCTACATTTTGAGCATTTCGGGATTTTTTTTTTCTTTTTTAATCTGCAAACCCTTGGTTTACAAAATTCCACAGCCTATAATGATGGAGAAAAAAAAGTTTCATTGTCCGGATTAGTTTATGACATCCCGCTTATAAAATCCTTCCACCACACCCCACCCCCGCAACACCTCAAGGAAGTCGAGTGACGGGGATAATAAAGTGTCACCATCTGAGTGGAGCAGAGGAAAAAGCTAGCTGGAGAACAACCTTTTTTTTTTTTTTTCACTCCAGAATGCTTTACAAAACCGGGACTTTCAAAGGGCGCGCGACTCGGGCG